AAATAAATAAAAAAAAAAATGTTACTTTGTTTAATAAAGTATCGTCCCGACAAGTATTTCAGTGCGGACCTGTATTTGATCGTGCGGTATTGGAGCAGCATGCCCTGACCTGTGAGGTCTTAAGTCACCTGATTCACGAGCACTTTGTACTACATTAACAAAGGCACGAGGGGTTGGTTGCACTCGATTGGGAAACCGATTCGCATAAATCCGTGATGCATCCGGGAGCATTTTGTAAAGACTGCCCCCCGTAAATAAGAATCATGTCCACAAGTTCAGCATTTTCGTAAACATGTGCCATTTTTGATTTCGTTTGAGCCACGCAACAAACACTTACTATTCACTAACGCGTTATCGACTGACGAAAAACATCGTGATAAACGTTTCAAATTCTTTCGCTTTTTTGTTTCCGATGCGATGAACCGGTCAGGCGGATTATATCCGTTGTCGCCAAACACGAACATATTATTATTGAGACAGGGCAGTACTCAAACTTCCAAAGGGCTATAACTTTGTTACTTTAATTTTACCAGAAAAATGGTAAAGGAAAAAAACATTTCTTTTGATCAGATCTACTCACTGTTAAAATAAATGACTCAACTTCGAAGTCACCCTGTATAGAGATCCATTAGTTACAAAAAACGTGAAACGCGAAAGGCGGAACCCGGAACGCTTGAACGCTTTCTGTCTGCGCGAGCTCTTAGACTGTGATTGCGATTACTCAGTTGGTATATTGCTTTAATATTTGGCTGCAGTATATGAAAGGCTCATCTTGTATAATGATGTAAAGTGGTGGTGTATAACGAGATGTTGACTATTCCTCGTTGCCAAGTTATTAACGTTTTCAAATTTTTGTAGTTTATTCAATAAGCTCTTATGGACTAAAGATAATGTATGATATAGTCTAATACTTTCTAGATTCAATTCTCCGTTTGCTTTATAAGCATATCCTATATGGCCATATTTTCTTGGTGATGTTTAAATTTTAATCCATTATCCAGCCATAAACTCAGATTTTTGCTTACAGTTACCCTTAGATGATTGTAAAACGATAATAATTAATGGCATTTCGTCTGAATGATACAGTACATCATATTGCTATAAAAACCTGAAATATACAAAGAGTATAATAAAGGACTAAGTATGGAGCCTTGAGGTACTCCCATTGCGGAGAAGGTGAAGCCAGGCAATTTCAATTTAATGATTGTTGTATCCTGATCAATGGTATCAAAAGTCTTGCTGTAATCAAGTAACCCTAAACATACAATTTTACTGTTGCCGACCAAATACATTGAGTCATCGACTATACAAGCTAGAGGTATTGTAGTATCATAAGATTTGCGAGAGCCGGATAGAATTTGTGGTAAAATAATCAGATGTATTTGTAAGATTCCGAAATTTGTACCATTATTTTTCTATGATTTTTGATAATATTTTTAAAATACTGATTGGTCTCAAGTCAGCGAATTGAGATCAATTAGAATTTTTTTTACTTTAATTTTTTTCCACATATCAGCAATTGATGAAGTATATGTGATATGATTTAGTGAGCGGTTCTCTAATAACAGCATCATTTTCCGTAATACAGTGACCAGCTAGCTGCCTCAGCTTTGATAGCTTTGATGCAAGTAGATATTTTAGGTGCAGTTACTAAACGAAATTTAAAAGATTCGTCAGGATTATTACTAGACCCAATATTATATTTATGTAAGACAATCATCTGAAATTTTCACATCTTATTTTTTCTGGGATTACTGAACGAATGTAGGCTGATTCTTTACTTCCACCAAATTGATGTTTATTGCGAGAAAAACAGTAACTTTGGATGTAGCTTCCAGAAGCTTGCCGCTGGTCAGTCGAAGAGCAGGAAAATCCTACAGTGATGCCCTTGACGCAGTGTATTATCTCAAAAATATCACATTTACGTGTCATATGCACACATTTTCAGAGATCCAACCATATCATTTTATTCTCTTCTATATTCTATGTGCAATGAGTATAATTCCATAGCAGATAGTTCTGATATCAATTTTGATTGCATCAGTAAAATCTTGTCAAACTTCGGGGACTATTACAATATTATATAACATCATTACTTAAGTTAACATTATATTGCCTTATAATTCGATTAGTCTGTTGGGCAATTATGGATACATAAATAAATAGACTTTAAGGGCTTGACGGTAGTCACGGTAGTTTGAGGCCAGCCTGATTGATGACATAAGTAGATAGGAGATCTAATCTATAAGATCAAAACTGTCACTATCACAATGTTCTCGAGATACTGTTTCCATAAAAACTCTTATTGCGAACGCTATTCGGGATTCGCTCATTTTCAAAATGATTGGGACGTTGTTATACGAGCCCCTTCCCACTTCAGTTGGCCCACTTCAAGATTTGTACCAAAATATGCATTTATAAACTAAACATGACGAAACTATTTACTTCTACAACAGTTTGTTTTCTCAAAAACATTTTAGATACACTCTAGTCGTAAAAAATACATATTTGAAATCACTTAGACCTATAACTAATAGAACATCTGAACAAATAAACAATGTGCGAATAAATGCGCGAAGTTAACAAAGCAACAATTGAAAGATTACTATTGGGTAACATCACCTTTATATTTTATTACGGCTGAAATTCTTTGGGTTTGGTGTTTACCAAGTTTTGGCAAAAATTTGGTGTAAAGCAATCCCATATTTCTTGAAGCTTTTGCCTCAGTTCGGTGATTGTACGAGCAGGATGTTGTCGTAGAACCTATTTCATCTCGTGCCACAAAGTTTCAATAGGTGACAGATCTGGACTGCTAGAAACCCATTTCAAAAGTGGTACATTATTTTCGTAAAAGCGATTCTTCTAAAATTGACAAATATTTCGCTCACCGGCTGCAATAGCGGCACAAATAAAAAAAAAACTAAATCGTACTTTCAATCGCGAATCATCCATCAATATTCACTTCATCTCCTGCAATACTGGCACAACCGTATATTGTGATAGAAACCGCTAGATGTAACTTGTGCCGTTTCCGAATTTTAGTTGATCTTCCTTGCATCTACGGGCAATACCGACACATCTACCCAGTAGCGTGCCAGTAGCCTTGCGGAAGTTGTGTGGGACGCACGTAATAGTGACACTTAAGGCTGAAAACCGTCATTTTCCTGAATCCTATTTTGTGCAGGTAAGCAATGGCGACATATTTCAAGATGTGCCTTCATTGCATCAAAGTAGTGGACAAATTTTATTTACACTGGTAAGCAATAATAGCATAATTCGAAATGTGCCTTTCTTGAACCTAGATAGTGGTCAAAGCATATTTATGCAAGCTATCACTAGTGGCATATTTCGAAATACCTGTATGCCATTATTGCACCCAAACTGTGGTCAAATTATATAAGCGAATACTGTAATATTGCGATATGTGCCATTCTTGCATTGTATGTTATGCTACAAAACTGATAAGTATTTTCCAAAGCCTACGCAAACAGAAATCTGTTTTGTATGATGTAGCTTATTTTTGTGGCTGAAAAGCAATGACAAAAATTGCTCTCGCAATTTTGAAAATTGTTTGTGTCTTTATGATGTTTATTGATCCATTTTAAAGAAATTTATAGCATTCAAGTATTAGTAGTATACATTGTTTTAGTTATTGTCGGGTACAATGGAAAAAACGATCTCCACAAGTCCCGGAAGCTTCTGTTAGGAGTAAGAAATTTGAAAAAGATGGTGATTGCAAGCTTGTTGAAAACCAAATAGTAGAGGAACTAGGCGTAGGAAGTCTTTTTCCATCAGATAATTGCAGAATTCAAGAAAGAGAAGCAGTTTTTGATGGAGAGTCATGTGCTACAACTACGCAAGAGCTCTCGGAGGCGGAAGAAAGCAGAGACGAAATTGGAACTGGACAAGAGCAGTTGGACTTAGAAGATCCTTTTTCATCTGTCGATTCAATAATGGATCCTGACTATGAAGAACCAGTTGTATCACAACATTCTCAATGCCCGACGGAATCATGCACAGAGAAAAAGAAGAGTAGGAAGAGAAAAGCAGAGCCCTGTGAATGGAAAAGAAATAAAACAAAGCTATTAAGGAACAGTGGACAAGAATACCACACCTCAAACAAGAATAAACCAGTATCTAGTAGACAAATGACACAACCCTGTGACGGCACTTGCAAGCTAAAATGTACAGCAAAATTCACTGAAGAGGATAGGAAGTTCCTGTTCACCAAGTTCTGGAATTTAGCCAATATTAACAAACAGAGGGTGTTTATTGCTACTCTGATGCAAGAAATCACACCAAAATACACGTATCCCATTCTAATCAATGGCAAACGAAAACGAACTAATAATAATTCGTTTCATTTGGAAAAAGGAGAAGAGAAACTTAGGGTTTGCAAGAAATTCTTCACATCAATTTTTGGCATCAGCAATCGCTGTATCCGGAGTGTCATATCGAAAAGAGCTGAAGGTGATTTTGAAGACAAAAGGGGGAAACATGGTAATCAAACCCGAATATCTGATGAAATTAAAAATGATGTTCGTGCTCATATTGCATCAATACCTCAAATAGAGAGTCACTATACAAGAGCTCACAGTGAGAAAAAATACATAGAAGGTAGCAAAACTATCACTGATTTATACAGAGATTACAAAAAAGATTGCGTTGCTAGAGGTAAAGCAACGGCAACACTGACTATGTATAGAAACATATTCAATTATGAATTTAACCTAGCATTTTTCATTCCTAAAAAAGATCAATGCCACACGTGCGTTGCCTATGGCAACGCAAATGAAGGGGAAAAGAAAGAATTAGAAAAGCTATATGAGCAACACCAAAATGAAAAAAAATTAAGCAGAGCAGAAAAACTAGCCGACAAAGAAAAAGTCAGTGATAAATACCAGGTTTGTTGTTACGACTTACAAGCTGTTGTGCCATGTCCTTAAGGAGATGTTTCTGACTTTTATTATAAATCAAAACTGTCGACGTATAACTTCACTATGTGTGATTTGAATAAAACGGGACAGGGACAAGTGGTGTGTTTCATGTGGCATGAGGGTCAAGGAAGACGCGGGTCTAATGAAATTGGTTCATGCTTACTAAAATATCTTGAATACAAGGCTTCTGCTCAAGAAAATGTAGAAGTAGTTTTTTATTCTGACAACTGCGCTGGACAGCAAAAAAACAAATTTATTCTCGCTGCATATTTTTATGCATTATCAAAATACAACATAAAATCAATTACACACAAATACCTTATAACAGGACATACGCAGAACGAAGGCGATAACGTTCATTCGGTTATTGAAAAACATGTTAAACGTGCCCTGAAATCAGGTCCAATATATACACCTGACCAGTACGTATCACTGGTTCAGACAGCCAAAAAGACTGGATTACCTTACAAAGTCCAAGAAATGAGCTACGCCGATTTTGTAGATCTAAAAAAGTTATCTGAACAGACATCTTTTAACTTTAAGAAGGACTCTTCCGGTGAGGTTGTAAAGCTGGCTAATGCAGCCATCATAAGGATAGAAAAAGAAAATCTAGATAAATTTTTATACAAAACTTCTTATAGTGAGCCTGAATATAGAGTTGTTGAGATTAAACAAAGAACTACCCGAACAAATCAAACTTTCGATAATGTGAAGTTGGAACCGGCTTATCGAGATATACTTCCGATATCAAAAAAGAAGTACGATGGACTGATGTTCCTGTTACGCATGAATACTATAAAGAAATGTTATAGCCCATTCTATAACAGCCTTAAAGTATCTAACGATGTCGATTAGTTTCTCTTTAAAACTTCTGTATCTTAAAATTATTAGCTAGAATTTAAGTTGCGCGTACCTTTCATTTCCAAAAAAGTTACAGGTTCATTTGTTTCAAAAGTACATTGTTTAGTTCTTCATAAGATTTTTTGCATCGCATTTTAATGTGCAGGTTCTGTTGTTGAGCGATAATTAAAATTTTGAAAAGTATGATACTGAGTATTTACCATGCTCCAACTCCAAAAATGACAACAATTACGTTCATAAAACGGCACAAGTCAAAATTTAAAAAAAACAAAATGTCATATTTAAAAGAGAACTCAAATTCTGATTGATATTATGTATTGTAATGCCAATGCCAGAAAATCCGTATGAAAGCGACATCACCTAAGAGTCACGTTACACGTCAAAATAATTAAATTTGTTTTGGCTATTCTTAAACCAGCTATATCTCGAAATTATATAGTTTTGATTTGTGCCAATGTTGCAGCCGGTGAGCGATTTGTTTGTATCCACATTTCCATCAATAAAATGAAGTTTTCCTACTCCTTTTGATGACATACTGCCCCAGACCATAATGGATGCTGTAAATTTCACTTTTCTCTTCGGACAGTCAACATGGAATGCTTCATTTTTTGCGAATAACTCTACTACGACTGTCACCAGCACAAACTTCGAATCGGGCCTCATCACTCCATTTTATTGCACACCATTGTTGAGGTGTTCATTGTCTATGTTCTTTAGCCCATCTAAGCCGATTTTTCTTTTGCGGTGGAGTTAATAGTGGCTTTTCTTTGGCCTATAAACAAGTTGTGCAACTTTAGGGTTTTTACTTCACTTTTTTTTATACGAAAACTTACCTTGCAAGTGCTCAATCCCAGTTTGTGGACCTGTCTATGAGTTGTGGACCTCGAAATTCTCCTTCTAACAGCGTCACTCCACAGAACACTTAATTGTAAATAATTGGCACGCCTGTTTTAAACGATTATTATTCTTAATGCTCTTCAATCGGCATTTGTGATATTACTTGTTTTCACATATCGTGACTTAATATTAACTGAACCAGTTACGTTATATCTTTTAACAATATTTCTCACACTCTACCGTCTAACAAAGTAGCAATTTCTGAGTTTGATTTCCCAGAATTAAAAAGTTTCATTATCAGTAACCAAATTTTATCACTAATAACCTTTCCTCTACTCATTTTGAAAACCTCAACTACCCAAAACTATTTTAAACGTATTCTGACAGCTGTGATTAATAAAAACAGTTGTCATGGCTTTTATTTTTCACAGCCACCTATGCGTTATATACTTATTTTGCATTGAAATGAAAATAGGTGCAAATTTGATTAGGGAGTGATAAAGTTGGTGTTTTCTACTATATATTATTAAAATATTCATTGTTGATATTTTAAACCTATAACACCCTGCTACATTTTTATTATTTGTGTTTGATAAGAAAAAAACTAAGATTTCAATAGTTGGGCCAACTGAAGTGGGAAGGGGCTCGTAGTTTGGTGCAAGCCAAGACAGTGTACATTCCCTTGGCTTGTGCTAAGCTACAAAGACCTGGCGAAAACAACTCCAGAAATGGCGGAAGTCCTAAGAATATTAAATCAAGGATTATGTGCAATAACGCATGCGTATCACATGCTCTTATCCTTAACTGAGATTTTTCATAAAAAATATTTGGTCATGTTATGGAGTTGTTTCCTCGTCTGCTTCGAGGCGGTATTATAGTATTGTGCAAGCCAAGATAGGGTTCATCATATTACTCTATTGGCATATACTTGGCTGCATGCAGGATACCAACACATCAGAATGTTTTTACATTGATGAGAAAGAAGTATAATAATTGTACTGGAAAGAAATTACATTCAATCTAAATAGAAATACAGGTGATTATATCGCTGAATTGGTCACTGACTGCCAATTATTCAAGCAATTGATTTGTGGTTGCAGACTAAAAATGTTACTACAGATGCTCTGTTGTCAGACGTAACTCTATTTTACTGAAGCTACCACCAAATCGGAGAGATGCATAAAACCCTTTTTGAGATTGACCTTAGCATTCAGATCACATTTGCAAAGTGGTAAATTTAAGAAAGGCGGTACAACCGGGGGAAAGTGACCCTATAAGTCTGACATTTGTCATAACATTCTAACCCTGTCGAATTTTGTAATTTCGCGATGTACATGTCATACAACATCCAAAAAACATAATATCTGTTTTTCAAAAATTTTTGCGGTTACACTTCCCCCAAGTAGGCATATGAAGTAAAAGGCATTGTGCATTTAGCAAAAATTGAAATTATGAGCTTTGCATAAACACGAGTATGAATCAATTTTCTTACGTTTTGATAGGTTTGGTATTGGTCGGTTACGGAAACCTTTAGAGCTGGTCATGTAATATAATGATTATGATTAGAGAAAAAGTACTATGAGAGAATTCTTTTAGAAATAATCGAGGACAACTTTCGTACGCCCTAGTAACGTAAAATATTTATCGGATTTTTTTAACGAAGCAATTTATTTAAACAACTAGTTATCATAAATTAATATTAATACTTAACTAAACTATACTATAGAATTATGTGGGGCTAATCACTCTGACCTCTGTGCGAGAAATGCGCGTGGTCTTCCACTTTTTGGGAGATTCAGGCATGTATCCCCTGCTGGCACTCCGCTATTGTTCGATAAATGATTCTGCGTGAAATGTTTTCATTCTGGAATATTCGACAGATCTCAGCTATAGCTACCCGCCCAACCAACTTTTTCTTATTTCTCATTTATACATCTTAAAACGAAAACTTCAAAATAAGTAACTGTCAACTGACAGTAAAGTAAGAAACAAACTTTTGATTCCAAAGGCATATTAGGATATTATTTTGTGTTTGTTAAAAATAAAGCTAATAAATTATGTGCCAAAATTTTCAGGACATGTTATTACTTGCTTGAGGAAAAGGTACTGAAAAGATGGGATGGAAATAAAACAACACTGGAGGTAGTTTTAAATGACTTGATTGTTTTTCGAAGTATTCTCCACGAAGATTAATATGCATCACGTTTTCTTCCGTTAAATACTGCCTTGTTTTCTGGGCTGTGTGCGAGCTTGCATTGTCTTGGTGGAGGATGATTCTTCTTTCGGGGTTGATTTTTCGAAGCTCGGTGATGACTTTAGGCAAACAATTGATGGTATACCAATCCGCAGTAACAGTTCTTTGCTCATTAAGAGGAATTGTTGCAATATGACCCGCTTTTGACACAAATGTCGCGACCATCTTTTTCGAAACACTTCGACAACGGATGACTTTTGTTGACTTTTCTTCACCTTGGAACACCAAAACAGCCGACTGTCGTTTATTTTCTGGTCCGTATCAGTAAATCCACGATTCATCACCACTAACAATGCTGTACACATTTTTTGAGTTTCCGGAATTGAAACTGTCAAACGTTTTTTGACACCAATTGACCCTGGCTGCTTTCTGCAGTCAACAGGTGGGGTATCCAACGAGAAACTAATTTTCTTACTCCTAATTCTTCTTTTTTGAATTGAGGTCTTTGAGATCTTCAAGGACGCCTCAATCTCGCGATATGTCACATGTCTATCTTCAATGATGAGTTTGCGCACAGCATCGACGTTTTCCTGGGTGACTGCCGTTTTTGGTGCACCCACCCTGGAATCTACGCCAAGACTCACCCGTTTACGTTTGAATTCTCCATACCAACGGAAAATTGTCGACTGACGTGGCGCTTCGTTGCCGAAAACAGACAGTAACTCAGAAGGGCATTCTTGTTGCGATAATTGTGTCTGAAAGTTGTAATAAATTATGGCGCGAAAATGTTCTCGGTTGAGTTCCATTTTTCTAATGACTTGGTGACACTTAAAAATTCACTGTAATGAGAACACTGCACGTATTGTTGTGAAACTTTGAATTTAAGTTTACTAAAGAGTGAGGTGAAGATTCAGTACTGATCTTCGATCCGCGCGGCCTACTATGTTTCTATATGCAAAACTTAAAAGACATCCCTCGTATACGCGTACATGTCATATAACATTAAAAAAAACAGAATACCTCATTTTCTCATGTTTTCGCGATTACAATAGTTCATCGCCAGCTGTCGTAGGAAGTGGAAAGGGTCCTATTTCGTTTAACAAAATATTATCTCTAAACTTTCCAACGTATATAAATTCATTATCAAGTGATACTAAAGGCGGCATTAAAAATTCAACCGAGGTACCGGCAATCTCCCCAAGAGGCAGTGATTGCGCTATATACGTGGGGCATGGGGCATGCCTGTTGGCAACATCGTTTATTGCTGCGCCAATCGCCCCCGCAATGGGTGCCCCGGGCGATCAATAGCGAGGGAGGGGAGACTTATAGGGGGGAGTAGGGTACTCGCATCACGCAAAGCTATTTGTAAAGGTTGGTGAGGGGCTATCCGTGTGATGATAGTATAATTATGGTGTAGGAGCGATTGCGAAGTTTATCTTATTTGTACTGGTTACGACCCGCTAAGTAGGAGTGAAAGAAGTGTGCGTAAAATGAATGACATGTACATTACGAGAAACTGTTTTCCGACTGTCGGTCTGTGCATAATCCGTGACCCCGCTTATATCAGAAGGTTACGACTATGATCTTTATCATTTTTAGGAAATCTCATGTAGGGGTTAAAAGTTAGGGGTTGGAGTTTGTAGGGAGTGCGACATAGTTCATACGCTTCCAGCCTCGGTAATTGTGTGCACCTATTATACATATTTCACACATGATAGATATGCCCTCACATTTTCCCTTAAAACTTAAAATGATTGAGAAATATTATCAATACACTAGTCGCAGCAATCCGAGGAATGTAGGTATGCCTGCGTCGGAGTTTGAGTGATGTCTGATCGATGGATAATTGGCGAGTGGTGAGGTTAGTCATAGCAACGTTGCCAGATGGTCAGTACCGTCGATAGGACAGGGCAGACATTTCTAGACCGCAACTTTATCAAAT